GTAAGACTATTAGTGGCCAATGAGGAAAGTATCCTCTGATAACAAAGCTGTAAAGAACACATCTGAGGAAACTTTCTTTGGTGTTCTGCGAAAACATGTCTCCACAGAGTTGACAGTGCACCCTCAAGAAGACTTCCGCTAAGACAGTTTTGTGGAATTGGCAAAGTAGATATTTGAAGCCCAAAGAGGGCCTAGTTAATTGGGGAAAAAGAAATATGGCGTTCCTCCGACTGAATTCTGGAAGAACTTTCGTGTCTGGAGAAAGCCCACTGCTAGTGATGGATGTTAATTCATACTCACATGAGTTACATCTGTATTCGTGGATCCTATTGTAGGGCCTTATTCTCTAAGTGTCGTGGAATCTTGTAACAGATATTTCGGATCCCTTGAGACACTTATTAGGACCAAAGTAAATAGCCTCCATAACAGAAGAGAAAGAAGTTTCTGAGCAAACGTCTTTGTGTTCTGTGAAATCATCTCACAGATTGTACAGCTTATTCCCCTCAGAAGACCTTTCCGCTAAGACTAGTTCTTGTGGTAATTGGAAAGTGATCCTGTTGGAAGACCCAAGACGGCTATGAGTGAAAAAGGGGAAATATCCTCAGTATGAAATCTGGAAAAGAAGCTTTCTGAGAAATCTGCTCTTAGTGTTCTGTTAATTCATCTCACAGAGTTACATCTGTATTCGTGGATCTCTTTGCTAGCCTTCTATTTCTGTGGAATCTGAGAACAGATATTTCGGATCCTTTGAAGACTATAGGGCGCAAAGAAAATATCCTCCGATAACAAAGAGAAAGAAGCTTTCTGAGAACTCTCTTGGCCCGGTGAGGACGAGTGTCTGGGCCAGGATGGTCTCGATCTCCTGACCTCGTGATCCGCCCGTCTCGGCCTCCCAAAGTGCTGGGATTACAGGCTTGAGCCACCGCGCCCGGCGAGTTCTGGCTTTCCTATACTGAAAGCCCTTTCCTCTCCTTCAGTAAGGTAGGTGGAACCGCTGTCCCGCCTTGTTGGTGAATGTCGTTGCTGGACGTTCAGACACATACAGGCTGGTCTGCTGAAAATCTGAGATGCTGAAAATCTGAGATGTCCACCTGCGCCCTATTCGAGGTCTCCGGAGTCGTCTTTGGCCTCTTCTTTGCTCTTTCAGAAGCGTCTGCACATTTTTCCAGGTGTCATTTCTCTAACTTGAACACAGGGAGCGCACTGGGCGCGCGGGCACGTGGCTGTCCCCAGGGGCCTGGCTTGGGTCTCGCCCCTGGGCGGGGGCGCACGCGCGGGCGGGACATCTGGGGGCGCCCAAGCGCTCTGGGACGAGTGTCGCTGGCCAGGCCCCGACTGGGGAAAGGCGAGTGAGACATTACTCGCCTGGGCTGCAAAATTTAAGGGAGTGAAAAAAAGAAAGAAAGAAAGAAAGAAACGAAAACCACCTCGAGTCACCAAAATAAACATTTTAATGCAGTGTTAAAAAAAAAATCAACAGGAATCCTCCAAAGCCCACTATGAACAAAATAGCAAAACGGTAGAGAAAGGACCTGTGCTGCTGGGTAGGGCCTGTGGGGCGCCTCCGGGGGTCTGAAACTGGAGGAGACTCGGGTCTGTAGGGCCCGCGGATCTGGGGCGCCCCTTCGGTCCCGGCGCGCCCAGGGCCTCCAGCGCGGGGCCCGGCACAGGAGGCGGGGAGGCAGGCGGGGAGGCGGCCGGGGCGGGGCCGGGCGGCACCTCCCTCTCCTGCCTGCTTTCCCTCCCTCTCCTGGGCCTCTCCCGGGCGCAGAGTCCCTTCCTAGGCCAGATCCGCGCCGCCTTTTCCCGCGGCCCGCACCGGGCCCCGCTGACGGGCCGCGTTGTTTACGGGCCCGAGCAGCCCTCGCTCCCGCCGCCCGCCCGCCACCCGCCAGCCCAGGTGCCCGCCCGCCGGTCAGCTTGTCCGTTGGTCCGCGCGTCCCTCTGTCCCGGAGCCCGCAGGTCGCGACCCAGAGCGCGCGGGGCCGAGAGCCGAGAGACAGTCTGGGGCGCAGCGCCGAGCTCCCCGCCCCGACATCGTGGGACGGGGCCCGGGCCGCAGCGGCCGGGGGTCGGGGCCGCCACCGCGAGGGCCTCCGCTCCCTATTTGTAGCGGGCGAAGCCGCGCGCCTCCTTCCCGGGGCTGTCTCTAGGGCCCTCCCGGGCAGCAGGGCTGCGGCCCGCGGGTCGCCGGCGTGGAAGAGAAGGACGCACGGCCCCCAGCGCCTCTCGGACGGCCGCCTCAGAGCATGACCCCCGCGGGCCAGCGCCGCGCGCTCTGATCCGAGGAGACCCCGCGCTCCCGCAGCCATGGGCACCGGGGGCCGGCGGGGGACAGCTGCCGCGCCGCTGCTGGTGGCGGTGGCCGCGCTGCTACTGGGCGCCGCGGGCCACCTGTACCCCGGAGAGGGTGAGTCTGGGGGCGCGGGCGTGGACGGGGAGCGCCGCGATGGGGAGAGGAACCCACCCGAGCCAAAATCGAGCCCGGGCTTGTGGACTGAGAACCCTCCCCGGGGGCGGGGGGCGGGGGGCGGTGGCCGGGACTGTAGCTCCTGCCTCGCGTGGTGGGGGGGGGGCGGGAAGCCGCTGACCTTGGCCTTTGCCCGCCCGAGCTCGCGCCTCCGCGCCCCGCGTGCCCGACCTGAGCCCGAGGAACCTTGCCCCAGTGCCCGCCCCGCCGCGGGCGCCTCTCTGGAGCGCGCCTCCGACCCGTGCCCCAGCCCCTCCGAGCCCAAGTCGCTCCGGAGACACGACATGCGTCGTCTTTGGGTCGCGGCCGGGAAGTGGGGTCACTGGGTCTGGAGAGCCCCGGACAGCCAAGTCCCCCGAGCGCATATGGTGTAGGTAGAGCCAGTCGCCCCGAGTGCCTCACCGGTGGGTGACGCTGCCTGGGGTCGGGGACTGCAGAAACCCCCTCTACCCAGCTACCTTGGATTTAGGCCGGTGGCCACCCTGGACTCTAGGTCCACGTTTACCCTTTTGGGTTCTGTTTCCAGATGTCTGGAGGCAAATTCTAAAGCCTTAGCAACAGCAGCAATTGTAGCAGAAGTAGTGGCGGTTTTTTATCCTATCTATTGTAATTAGTATCACCGCACGCCACAGGCTGGTCTATCTTATCTCTTTGGACTGTCACAGTGGCCCCGGGAGGCGGATACAGTTCTGTACCCATTTCACAGAGGAGTAAACTAAGGCTCAGGTAGGATGCATAACTCCTTTGCCCTAAAGTCAGTGCCAGAGCCAGGACTTGAACCTCTCTGTGTCCCATTCTGCACAAGAATCTAGACTACTGTCCCTTGTCTGCTGTCTCCTTGACTCCTCCTCTCCCCTCAGCCCTGCCCTTCATGAAGGAGCCTTTGACCTTGAGTGAGCCTTTCCTTCCCCCTGACCCCATGAGCCCCTCTCCCACGTGTGGGTAGCATCTTCCTTGGGCTTGACAGCAGGCACCTTTGGGGTTGTAAGATAAAGATGGCGCAATCATTTAAGACAATGTAGCCTGAGTGTCCCACTGTGGGGTCTGAGGCCCTGCTTTAAACATATCTGTTGAGTTACTGTTTCAGATTTCTCCATAAAAGGAAATCAGTGGTAATGAGGAAGGGGTCAGGGAGGGAAGGAATTGAAGCTCCTAAATTTATTGATGGGGAACCGGGTACATGTAAAATCAGAGGTGCTAGAGTGGACCAACCGGGTGTGCTGAGTCGACTCTGTGAATTACATAATGTTTAAAAGCCCCGCGGCCACCCCGCCCCCAGGTGCTTGGTAGACAGTAGGTGCTCAGTGAAGGGTGGCGGTTAATTTGGGTTTTTGTTAAGAAAATCCGGCTGGCTGTTGTGACTCACGCCTGTAATCCCAGCACTTTGGGAGGCTGAGGCGGGCGGATCAGGAGGTCAGGAGATCGAGACCATACTAGCCAACATAGTGAAACTCCCTTCTTTGCTCAAAATACAAAAATTAGCGGGGTGTGGTGGCGTGCACCTGTAATCCCAGCTACTTGGGAGGCTGAGGCAGGATAATTGCTTGAACCGGGGAGGAGGAGGTTGCAGTGAGCTGAGATGGCACCCCTGCACTCCAGCCTGGCAACAGAGTAAGAGTTTGTCTTAAAAAAAAAAAAAAAAATCCAAGACGAGTGGTTTAGAACTATGCCAGATTCTGTGTGTGTGCGTGTGTGTGGTTCCCTGCTCTTCTGTTCCTTGTAGTTTTGGTAATTAATCGTGGATCTGTGCCTGGACTTTCAGGGTCAGTAAATGGATTTACCATTTCTTTTCACATTTATGGCTTCCATATGGGCCGGGGTTTATGGTTTGTTGTTGATGTTGTTCACCACTGTATTTTTAGACCCCGGAATGGTGCCTGGCACATAGTAGGTGTTCAGTAAATATTTGTTCTGCAGTGGGGCACAGAAACCCTGGGTGTACTGGGCTCCTTTATCATCTTAAGAAGTTCTTTATTCTCTGCGTAATACCTTCCTAAGAATTATAAGAGCAAGCTCTCAGCAGGTGCTGTTCTATTCGCTTTGCATATATAATCTCAGTTAATCCTCACGGCAAAACCCCACACGAGGTGTGATTTAATCATCCCTTTTCACAAGTGAGAAAACTTCGTTTGAGGCCAGCAGGCAGCAGGGCTGGGATTGGAATCTAGCTAGTGTGGCTGCAGAGCAATGGTTTCTTAACAAATCTTTATTCTTTTGAGTCTGAGCCTCCATACCCCCCATGTTTGGGGTAATGGTGAACAAAATCCTATCAAATAAATGGGCTGTGATGCCTCTTGAAGGTGTGGGGAGGGGCAAAGAGCTTTTCAGATCATTAGATCATTAATCTCTAATGTCAACCAATATGGCTTTTTTATTTTTATTTTTTTTTTTGAGACGGAGTCTTGCTCTGTCACCCAGGCTGGAGTGCAGTGGCACGATCTCGGCTCACTGCAACCTCCATCTCCCAGGTTCAAGGGATTCTCCTGCCTCAGCCTCCCCAGTAGCTGGGATTACAGGTGTGTTTCACAACACCGGCTAATTTTTTGTATTTTTAGTAGAGACAGGGTTTCACCGTGTTAGCCAGGACGGTCTCAATCTCCTGACCTCATGATCCACCCGCCTCAGCCTCCCAAAGTGCTTGGATTACAGGCATGAGCCACTGCGCCCGGCCTTTTTTTTTTTTTTTTTTTGAGACAGGATCTCACTCTGTCACCCAGGCTGGAATGCAGTGACACGATCTTTACTCACTGCCCACTGCAACCTCCACCTTTCAGGTTCACATGCATCTCCTGCCTCAGCCTCCTGAGTAGCTGCGATTACAGGCATCCATCACCACCCTCGGCTAATTTTTGTATTTTTAGTAGAGACGGGGTTTCGCCATGTTGGCCAGGCTGGTCTCAAACTTCTGACGTCAAGTGATCTGCCTGCCTCGGCCTCCCAAAGTCCTGGGATTACAGGTGTGAGCCACCACTCCTGGCCCAATATGGCATTTTGATTGGGATGAAGGGTGGAGGAAAATCAGTGTGATTTTTGTGTCTATCTACCTATCTATTCATTTTACTGTATTTATTTTTGAGATGAGGTCTTGCCCTGTTGCTTAGACTGCAGTGCAGTTGGGCAATGACGGCTCACTGCAGCCTCGACCTCCTGGACGCAAGCCATCCTCCTACCTCAGCCTCCCTAGTAGCTGGGCCCACAGGTGCACGCCACCCTGCCTGGCTAATTTTTACTTTAATTTGTAGAGATGAAGTCTTGCTATTTTGTCTGGGCTGGTCTCAAACTCCTGGCCTCAAGCGATCTGCCCGCCTTGGCCTCCCAAAGTGCTGGGATCACAGGCATGAGCCACGGTGTCTGGCCTCTGCAGTTATTCTTATTCTTTGCTTCTCTCCTGGAGACCTGCTTCTTGCCCTTCCCCATTCATGCATAGAGACCATAGTGTGTGGGCTGAGTCCCTGGGGGTCCTCACCTCACCCCACTCTACCGTTGACTTCTGTTCCTCTTTGGTTCAAGCAGAGCTCTCAGTCTCCGCACTGCTGGCATTTGGAGTTGGATCATTCTTGGTGCTGGGGTCTGTCCTGCATGTAGAGTGTTGAGCTGCAGCCCTGGTCTCCACCCACGTGGTCCTGGTAGGGCCCCCTTCCACCCAGTCATGACAGCCACAAATGTCTCCAGACATTGCCAGGCACTGCACTGGAGGAGTTAACCTTTTCCCTGTCTGAGACATTTACCCATCTGGGCTCTTGCTCTTTGTCCTCTCTTTGTTCAAGAATCTTTGGCCGGGTGCAGTGGCTCACGCCTGTAATCCCAACACCTTGGGAGGCCGAGGTGGGCAGATCCCCTGAGGTCAGGAGTTTGAGACCAGCCTGGCCAACATGGCGAAACCCCGTCTCTACTAAAAATACAAAAATTAGCCAGGTGTGGTGGTGGGCCCTTGTAATCCCAGCTACTAGGGGGGCTGAGGCAGGAGAATTGCTTGAACCTGAGAGGCAGAGGTTGCATTGCAGCGAGCCGAGATCACGCCACTGCACTCCAGCCTGGGCGACAGAGAGAGACTCTGTCTCAAAAAAAAAAAAAAAAAAAAAAAAAATCTTCATTTACGCACATACTTTTTTAGCCTCTAAACACCCCGTACCCTCCGATCCCCATTACCCACCACTGACCTCCAGCCTCCACCCTGTCCAGCTTCCCCCGGCCAGTCCTCCCTGCCCTTGCCATCTCTTTACTCACTGTTCTGCCCCCAGCGTCTGGCTTGCATCTCCGCCACTTTACCAATGGCTGTCAAAGTTAATCTCTCATCTCTCAGTTGCGTCTCCTGCAACCTCACCTCACTTGACCCCTCTGGGTTTGACACTGCCAATCCCTCCTCCTGGAAGGTTGCGATTCCAGTCTCACCTGAGCTTGGGTTCTTGTTTTCTACGGTTCTCTTCTCCTTCTACCTAGGCTAAGATGTTGGCTCTCTCTTCCCAGAGGGTCAATGTTTCCTTTAATCTCCTCTCAGCTCACTTTTTTTTTTTTTTAAATTCACTTCTTCGCCCCGGCTGGAGTGCAACAGCACGATCCAGGCTCACTGCAACCTCCGCCTCCCAGGTTCAAGCAATTCTCCTGCCTCAGCCTCCCCAGTAGCTGGAGTTACAGGCATGTGCCACCACACCGGGCTAGTTTTTGTATTTTTAGTAGAGATGGAGTTTCACCCTGTTGGCCAGGCTGGTCCTGAACTCCTGACCTCAAGTGACCCACCCACCTCAGCCTCCCAAAGATCTGGGATTACAGGCGTGAGCCACCGTGTCCGGCCCACTTTCTTTTTTCTTTTTTAAATTTTTATTTCTTTTTAGAGACAGGATTTTGCTCTGTCACACAGGTTGGAGTGCAGAGGTTTGGTCCTAGCTTACTGCAGCCTCCAAGTCATGGCCTGGAGCAGTCCTTCCACCTAGGTTCCCCAA